GGGCCATAGTCACAGGGCAAGAGGCGGGCAAGCAGTCCTCTCCAGGCACAAGTGGCGAAGGGCACTTCGTCACACTCTGCACTATTACAACTTTTTTACATGTCCATGTCAACACCTGATGAAGCGGAAATCTGGTTCCTGATTTTCAAGCACTTGTGATAAGCCTACAATCAATAGTGGTTTGTGATTGTATCCTATCTCTTATTTTTATGGTGCCCCCAGAGTGCTGTTTTATGAATGGCTTTGTTTTTGTTTTGTAGATATTTGTATATATTTGTACTGACGATACGGAAGAGTCCTTGTTTTGCTCTATGAACATTAGTGTTTAAAGGGATAATTTACAATATATTTATGCCCCACACTATCTTCCACTATTATTTTTGTACTTTGTATCAAGTATGTGGGAGAGTAGATGTGGCTGACCAATGTCTACAGCAAGCATGTCAAACTCGCGGCCCACAATGAATATTTTTGCAGAGTGTGTGTGCATCTGTCAGTGTGTGTGTGCGTCTGTCAGTGTGTGTGTGTGTCTGTGAGAGTGTGTGTGTCAGAAAGTGTGTGTGTCAGGGAGTGTGTGTCTGCCAGTGAGTGTGTTTGTGTGTCTGCCAGTGAGTGTGTTTGTGTGTCAGTGTTTGTGTCTGTCAGAGAGTGTGTGTCTGTCAGTGAGTGTGTCTGTCATTGAGTGTGTGTCTGTCTGTCAGTGTGTGTTGGTCAGTGTTGTGGTGGCAGCGGCTGGACAGTGGAGGGTCTGGAGGTGCACAGAGGTACACAACACCACATCTCGTTCTGATGTGACGTCAATGTGCTCCATCTTCACAGATTTTTAAGGAGTAGCAGGATGATCTGTTGGCTGGACTCTGGAATTGCATACTGGCAGTGGCAATGTGAGTGGAGTCTGCTTGTTTTCTAATATTGTTTTTTGTTTTTTTAAAACAAGGGCTGGGGTTTAGTGGAGGGAGTGCTGGGATTTAGAATAGAGGGGGGACTGTGAATTATTACGGGGGGGGCTGTGAATTAGTTCAGAAAGAGGGACTGGGATTTAGTACAGAGGGGGGACTGGGATTTAGTACAGAGGGGGGTGAGTGGGATTTAGTACAGAAGGAGGGGCTGGGGTTTAGTAGAGGGGGATGCCAGTTGTTTTTTTTATTATTATTCTGTACTTTTTAAAACAAACATCCGTTTCTATGAAAATTTAAGGTTTGGGGTTTTTTTGCGGCCCACATAAACTTCAACCTTGTTTATGTGTCCCCTGCTTGCCTTTGAGTTTCACATGCTTGGTCCACAGCCTTCTCGTGTAATCTGAAAAAACTAGGCCCTGATAAAAGAAAATTTCAGTTTAATCCAAGTTGCAGTTTTTATTTAATTCCCCAAATCATAGTTTACACTAAACTCAGCCATTATAAATGGGCTACACTAAAAACAACTCAAAATACTTGTTCTAATGATAAGCCGTCATGGGTCAATTTTCTTTCTTAGGGTTTCATTTTCTCAGGTGACATAGGCCCAGAAAATCACAGATAATTTTACAAGTTGACAACAGGGCCGGACTGGGAGAAAAATTCGGCCTGGGCATTTTTTTAACACAGCGGCCCACTAAAAAGGGGGCGGGGCAGAGGAGGTGTGTTTTGTCATCACCAATGACAAACACGCCCTTCTCTCAAAGTGAGCATGTTGGTTCAATGCTCTTCCAGGGCAGACCATGCGCAGAGCTCTGCTGAAGAGTTCTAGCATGAGAAAAAAGTCCTGTATTTGTTCTGCACAGTGCAAGCAAAATTAATAACATGCTTGCACTGTGTTTCCTTGCAACTTGTCTCTGGTGTCTTTATAAATGGATACCAGGAGACAAATGGCCATGAAAGAGTATTGTGCATGTGTTTGGAGCCTGCTTGTGGTATTGCGTGTGTGTAGAGTGAGCTGGTCGTGGTGTGGTATTGTGTAATAAGGTCGGTTTTAGTCGTGTTGAGTTTGTGGTGTAATGTGATGCATATGTGGCTCAGGGACCCCCTTCCGCCCGGCTCTGGAAAGGGGTTAAAACTTACCTTTTTCCAGCGCCGTGTGGGGAGCTCTCCTCCTCCGATGCGCACGCGCGGCAAGAGCTGCGCGCGCATTCAGCCGGTCGCATAAGAAAGCATTTATAATGCTTTCCTATGGACGCTTGCGTGCTCTCACTGTGATTTTCACAGTGAGAAGCACGCAAGCGCCTCTAGCGGCTGTCAATGAGACAGCTGCTAGAGGCTTTGGGGGAAGACTTAACCCATTGATAAACATAGCAGTTTCTCTAAAACTGCTATGTTTATAAAACAATGGGTTAACCCTAGAAGGACCTGCCACCAAGACCACTTCATTAAGCTGAAGTGGTCTGGGTGGCTAGAGTGGTCCTTTAAGAGTGTAGTGTGTGTGTGTGTGTGTGTGTGTGTGTGTATATATATATATATATATATATATTTGGAAGTATTGTGTATGTGTGTGGTGCAGTGTGTTGGGGGGGTTCTGTGTGTATGTGAGGGGTGCAGTATGTGTGTGTGTGAGGGTGCGGTGTATGTGTGTGTGTGTGAGGGTGTGGTGTGTGTGTGATGTGTGTGAGAGTGCCGTGTGTGAGTGATGGGTGTGAGAGTGCCGTGTGTGAGTGATGGGTGTGAGAGTGCCGTGTGTGAGTGATGGGTGTGAGAGTGCTGTGTGAGAGTGCTGTGTGAGATGGGTGTGAGAGAGTGCTGTGTGTGTGTGAGAGTGCTCTGTGAGAGAGTGCTGTGAGTGTGATGGGTGTGAGAGTGCTGTGAGAGTGATGGGTGTGAGAGAGTGCTGGGTGTGATGGGTGTGAGAGTGCTGTGTGTGATGGGTGTGAGAGTGCTGTGTGAGAGAGTGCTGTGTGTGATGGGTGTGAGAGTGCTTTTGTGTGCGATGGGTGTGAGGAGTGCTGGGTGTGAGAGAGTGCTGTGTGTGATGGGTGTGAGAGTGCTGTGTGAGAGTGCTGTGTGTGATGGGTGTGTGGGTGTGAGAGAGTGCTGTGTGAGAGAGTGCTGTGTGTGATGGGTGAGAGTGCTGTGTGTGATGGGTGTGAGAGTGTTGGCAAATGTTATGTGTGTGTGTGTGTGTAGGGGTAAATAAAAAAACAAACAAAAAAAAAACCAGTCATTATTCCCCCCCCCCTTTCTTACCTTTAGCCTGGAAGGGAGGGGGGGACCGGCCGGATCTCGCGAGAGGAACCCGGCGGAGCTGCAAGTTAGAGCTCCGCCGGGTCCTCTCTCCAGCCTGGCTCCCCCCCCCTCCCCAGCCGGCGGCCGCATGTGGGCCGGTCAGGGAGATCTCCCCACCGGCCCGTCGTGGCAAACAGCGGGGCCGGCGCTAGGAGAGCTGGGACCTCCCCTGCCGGCCTCGGCCACCGCGGCCCACCGTGCATTTGCCCGCTGTGCCCGATGGCCAGTCCGGGCCTGGTTGACAATGGGCGTGTAACTTACCAAAAAACAAGCAAACCAAAAACAATACACGAGGCACTTATATTCTTGAGACAGTGTTAAATTGAAGCTTTATTGCACTCAAAAAAAAAAAAAATCAATCACCAGACGGGGTCTGCATTAGTGATAAAGTTGCTACACCAAACATCTCAAAACAAGCAATTTGGAATACTCTGGGTAGCCTACATTAAAAAAATAAAAATATTTTACAATGTTATGCTATAATTGTGGAAATATTACCAAGGTGACCATACAGTCTCAAAGGCGACATGGGCCCAGAAACTCACTTCTTCCTATTTCCAGGTATGAAGACTGAAATGGTCATGCCCTATAACTTCCAAAATTCCCATAAAACCTGTACATGGGGTCTATTCATCAGACATTGCTGAACACAAATACAAAAATATGAGTGTTTTCGGGATGGGAGGGGGGGAGAGAGGGTGACAATATTAGAGAAAGTGCAGTTGTGTTCCTTTTTCCTTTTTCTTTGTGTGCCATGTCCATTTTTGGGGAGGGGATTGATACAGAGGGCAGGGGGGTGGACATTCCATTGCTTGCCATCTCACAATTAGAGACATGGTCCAATCCGCAGGTTGCTAGGGGTTCTGAAGTCCCTAGCTACCTTCCCCCCTCCCCAATTTAAATCAACCATACCAATAAAATAATTATAGTTACCATCAGAAGTCTTCTATTGTGTAATCCTTCTTATCTTCAGCACAAAAAAAAGGTCAAATTAAAAACTGTAGCACACAACACAATTCTTGGAGGAAAAAAAGAGAGATTCTTAAAAAACACAAGAAAAAAATACAAATAAATAATGCCAGAAAAAGCAAGCACTCTGAATCTACAAATAAAGGTTTATTTCACATGGTACATAAACAAACAGTGGATAAAAAACATGTTTCGGACCACCCGGTCCTTAGACATAGGAGAAAATGTATTAAAGTAAGATGTAATAAATATAAATTCTACTTCACCCTGCGAGGGCTCTGCGCAGAATGAGGCTTCAAGGCGGAAAGACTTTATAAATACTTTTTTATACGCTTTGATTTCTGGAGATTTGCAGAGGGAATATTCCCATAATTATCTATATATACACCTTAATAGGAGAGTGGACATTAGAATATTTCAAATGTTCACCATAGGTATAAATCATTCACCTTCTTCACCATATATAAACAGTGCTACAGGTTCAGAGTTCACACTGATTGATATATTATTATTATTATTATCTGATTATATCTGTCTGCCTTCATTGAAGACTTTGCTGGGTTCTTTAAATGCCATTTTAAGAATGAAGGAATAATCTTTTTGCCAGCTTGTACTGTGGGCAAACAGAATCGAACATTTACAAAGTGAGCAGGGAATTGGAATACAACACTGATATATTATCCAGGCATATACATTACAAGCACATTTCCATACATGGTTAATAAAGTGAGCCATTTCACACCGATCAGCACAGGCAGTTTATGTGTGTTTGTTATTAAGCCCATGCACTGTTACAGTTAGACTCGCACTGCTGATCCCAGGAAGTAGTCAGAGTGGGGAGGGTCCTTTTAAAAGTAGGAAGTGTTATTTTCTGCAAGTCTGAGCCATTTAAACCATCAGTGTTCTTATCAGGGTCACTGCTCTGTCACACTGTAGCCCCCCACTGTGACACATTGTAACCCCCGGCTGTGTACACTGTCACACATTGTAACACTCTACTGGGTGCACTGTCACTGTAACTCCCCCTCCCATGTGTACACTGTCACTGTGACACATTGTAACCCCCCTCCCCTGTGTACACTGTCACATTGTAACTCTCTGCTGGGTGCACTGTCACTGAAACCCCCCCCAGCCCCCATGTGTACACTGTCACTGTGACACATTGTAACCCCCTCCTGTGTACTTTCACATTGTCTCTCTGCTGGGTGCACTGTCACTGTAACCCCCTCCCTCCCCCCTGTACACTGTCACTGTGACACATTGTAACTCTCTGCTGGGTGCACTGTCACTGTAACCCCCTCCCTCCCCCCTGTACACTGTCACTGTGACACATTGTAACACTCTGCTGGGTGCACTGTCACTGTAACCCCCCTGTGTACAATGTCACTGTGACACATTGTAACCCACGGCTGTGTACACTGTCACACATTGTAACTCTCTGCTTGGTGCACATTAACCCCCCCTCCGCTGTGTGCACTGTCACCGTGTGTCCCCCTGCTGTATACACGGTCACTGTGTCACACTGTAACCCCTGCTTGGTGCACATTAACCCCCCTCCGCTGTGTGCACTGTCTTTGTGACACATTGTAACCCTCTACCCCCCTCCCTCTCCGCAGTGTGCACTGTCACATTGTAACCCCCGGCTGTGTACACGGTCACTGTGACACATTGTAACTGTCTGCTGGGTGCACATTAACCCCCCTCCGCTGTGTGCACTGTCACTGTGTGACCCCCTGCTGTGTCAGCCTGTAGCTTTGCACTGTCAGCATTCTCACCCCACTCTCCTCACTCTCAGCCTGCATCATACAATGGGTAGGAAGGTGACACTGGCCACCTGTTCCTTAAACCAGTGGGCTCTGGACTTCGAAGGGAATTTAAGCAGGATATTGCAAAGTAAGTGAAATATTTTGTAACTTCTAAGATCTTTAAATGTGTATTCTAATCTCTCCTTGCCAGTTTTTCTATAACAAACTGCAAGCATTGAAATCATGTATACCACCGTTTTCACAGCATGTCCTGCAGCTATGGAGTGCAACTCCCTTCACTCCCATACATTTCTTTCTGAGCCTGATGGGAGTTGCAGTCTTGGTGTTTCACAATACTGCACATGACCTTTCAAACAGATTATGGGAGTAATCAATCATGTCAGATTCTTATCTGGGTCACAAAGCTTGAAGGTTAGCAACCCCCATTAGTCTCATCCACATGCCTGTGAATGCTGGGAGATCATATTTTGGCCAGCCCCTGCTCAGTGTGTTGGACTAATATTCTGATATTGTTAATAACAATAGACTACAATGACACTTTTATAGCAGTATTAAGTATAATCCAATCGAGTGTTGATCCATAGAAAAAAAACAACTGGTTAATGTACTTAGTTAATTGGGCCAAGGATAAACACAATCCCCAAGTTGCAATAGTGCAGTTTATTTTATTACTATAAAACAGGACATAGTGCTAACATCACATACGCTTTAGACATATACAAACTTAAAAACAATAAATATCCTATATTGGGCTCAGCCCAAACAAGCAGCTCCAGCAAGCAATTACAATGTAGCAAATCAAGAATAGAATCCCTTGCAGACAATATGTTTACAGAAATCACACACATTCCTGTGGCCCTATATGTGCAGTAACTGTATGACTGATATTATTACTGTTTGGGATGAGTGCAATATAACTGTAGCGCTACCTATATCGTGTTTTTTAATTAAAGGGAACAGTAGTGTTCCAGTAAATATTTGTTTAGATGTATGGTCGCCATGTGTACAGTCATGAAAGCAAATTGAATTGCCTTTCTTCCAGTAGCATGCTGATCTCACTGCAGTTGTCCCACCTCCCCTGCTGAGATTGTCAATCCTGATGATCTCAACCAATCCAATGCTTCCCTATGGGTAAGCATTGGGCGCCTAGTGTACATACGCATCCAATAGCCACACTGCGCTCTCTCCTCATAGAAATGCATCTCTATCTCAGTCAATGCATCTTAATGGGGAGTGTTCAGTGTATCCATGCAGAGTGTGGAGACACTGAATATCGGTCCCTCTAGTCGCTGTCCCTGGGCAGCTTAGCCTGCCGGGACTTCTGAAGTGGTTCTGGTGCCTATAGGGTCCCTTGAATCTATGTAAGCCCCACCACGTGTTTAAGTCATAAACGTCATTATACCTTCCATTTTCATTGCCTTATTATAATCTACATTATAAATTCATAAATCAAGTTGGTGACCGTAGAATTTAGGAGCCACATTGGTAGCCTCAAATTTTGTTCATGGAGACATTACTACATCAGCAACAATTACACAGGGAGTTAAAAAAAGGTGTGGGGAAATGGGTGGAGCTTATATCATAAATGAATAGAAATCTGTTTAAAAGTAATAATTAAAAATCATTATGTATTTATTTTTTACCAGCAAAGATATTTTGTTTGAATAATAAAAACTACGGGCAATTTGAGAAACAAATAATGATTGAAATGTTCCAACATTTACACATGCTTTGTATGACCATAAACTTACAAATAAAGAAATGTCTATACATACAACTAGCACATTGATTGATTTGTGATCAGAGAGAAGTTTGGTGTGCAGTGACATTTTATACATTTGTTATAAACGTACACTGCTGAATTGGAGAGAAATGTTATTAAACCGTCTGATCAAGGTATAGATGCTGCTGGTGTCCAATATGTTTCAAATAGCCCAAACTGATATTTTTCATTTCGCTGCTTTTTATATTTTTAGGCATAAAGGTCGCTAAGGAGAAGGGAGCTCGGTACCGTCTTGGTCCAGAGCTGGAAATTTGGTGAGTTGCTTTTTTTTTTGTTTGTTTTTCCAAACTTTTCCAGGGACGGTCTTAGATGGTCTTCAAAATTTCCTTATAGTGATCATTCCTGTTTTTTTACACCACTCAAAAGGTACTGTAGCACTTTCTGAGATGAGGGTAAGTATAAAACACACATTCCTCAACTGTAACTTTATGTTCAGTGTGACAAACTCCCCTTTTCAAGTGAGTTTGCCACAAGCTCATGGAGGAGCCTGCTTGCCAGCCTCCTACCCACAGACCATGGGCCCTGCAGGGAAATCTGTAAAAGACTACCAAACTTGACCGACCGTTAGCACTGATTTCCCTGGAGCTGTTTCGGGCATGGGGCCATGCTTGCGGTCGGTCAAATCTATGACTTCCAGAAAATTCCTGAACCGATCTGGGTGATTTTTGGATATGTTGTTCACCCAGATTGGGGCTATCAGGGGATGTGACTATTTATGGGGATATGTTGGATTTTGAGGTACTTTCTGAACTTTGTGAAAATTTGTTTTTTCTGCCTGGAGATAATTGAGTTACTTACAGGATTAAACTCAATTATCTCGTAAGCAGAGGGGAGGGATTATGTGCTATACATGGGCGTGTCACAGACTGTATTTTTGTTCTGATTAGTTTGTGTCCTTTGTGTTCCTGTGCTCCATCAGGTCCATGGGGGGTTCCTCTGGCCTGGAAAATTGTATAAAAGGCCAGTGTGTCCCATTAAACTAGAGATTCCTGCTTACACTCCAAAACTGTGTGTCGTCCTGTTATTGGAGGGAAAGAAGATTTGCTCCTGTGTCTGCTGTTCCAGCTTGCAGGAGATTCAACGGGGAAAGTCCTTGTAAGGACTAGAGCCAATTCCCCGTTCGGTTCCAGAGTTCCCAGGACTGAGTGTCGTCCAGTGCCTGGAGGTGTCAGAGCAAGAAGTGCTGCGGTTTGTCCCCTGTTCCAGCTAGGAAGTGATCCTTTGGTGGAGGTAACCAGTCGGGGTGCCAGGTGATGCGTTACATTCAGAATGACCTGAGGATCTCCTGATGCTCAGTGAGCATTGGTGCATATTTACTTGTGCATTTGATAAAGATTCTATACAAAGATATGACTTCAAAGGTGCAGGGCATACGTGCCCATGACACCATGAGGATTTAAAAAAATTACATTAGATGTTTTGGCTATGCCAAGACTGCTTGTAATATGATGAAAATAGGCTCTTTTTTAAAAAATTGACTAAAATAGAGCAACCCATGAGGTATCATGAGCCTGAAAGTGATTTTTATTAAATCTATGATAAAATGGCTTTATTAAAGATTTCAGTTTCAATCATAACAAAAATACCAACACACCTCGCCATCCCAGACAGAATGGAAATCCCTATGACAAGTTTGTGACTGAGCTCAATTCTAACGACTGGGGACTCTCATTTACTTTTAACAACAGAGATCTAGGATCGAATTTCTTGAGCTTATGCTTTGGGGAGAAAAAGACCAGGTTCTAACTAGGACATTTCAGAAAAAGGTAGACGTTAATGGCTTCCTAAATGCTACCAGTGGCTATCATCCTACGTGGATTGCGAATGTAGCACTAGGCCAATTCATTAGACTCCAACGTAATTGCTCCATGTTAGAACACTTTGAGTAATAATCTTTAAATCTCTGCCAACGATTCCTTGATAAAGAATATCTTTCTAAATCAATCCTACTTGCCTACAACAATACAGACAGCCACAAGAGGCTGGATTAACCCTAAAGTAAACATAGCAGTTTCTCTAAAACTGCTTTGTTTACAGCAGAAAGGGTTAACCCTAGATGGACCTGGCACCCAGACCACTTCAGTGAGCTGAAGTGGTCTGGGTGCCTATAGTGGTCCTTTAAGGCTTATCATTTGAAATTCAATTTGAAATCTCTCTGAATTCCAATAACAATTCCCATTTTAGTGATTTAACCCTGTTATTGTTAGTGCTGTCCCTACGTATACTCAAAATCTGTAACGTGAACAAATGCAGCTCTCTGAACTCAGTACTAATATCTGCTCGCTCCAAGTACATGAGTACTGCCTGGACATGATTAAACCCCACTGCAGCTCAGGTATGTATTCAAAATGGCCGCCCAGTAAAAAGTTGTGATGTTAGAAATGGATCATTAGAATAATTCTGCTGTGGATCTGCATATACTGCAGCATTACACTGCCATTAATAGTGGTGCTGTTTTAATGGTGCCCTTGGTGTTTCAAGGTACTTATGGTGTGTAGGAACCTTGGCTTGGGTTAGAGAGATACAATGTTGTGTTCACTGATTATCTCATAGTCTAAGGATGTTGGGTTACAGCATATGGTACACCATTGTGCCTTAAACTACAACAGGGGTCATAATAAAAAATATTATTACAATACTGCTGTGCAATACGTCTGCACAAAGCCACAGTAATAACATCAAAATTTGTACTGTTTTCTTTTAATGGTGTCTTGGAAAATGTTGCAGAGATTCCATTTTCCTACCAAGCATTGCTTTGACTTGTTACATTTCCAGTGTGTACAAACGGGTATGTAGTCAGTCTATTTCCCTTTCTCCTATGTACACAGTGTTGTGAATTGAGCAATTCTGCTGGTTTTAAAATTTGAAAAGCAGAAATGTATAGTTGGTTTCCATGGTGATTGCTGCACACGTGCTTACATTGTCTAATATATTTTGTATTCTACAGCGGGTATGGCTGTGCAGATCATTTCTACGAGTCGGATACCATACTGCATTCTTTCCAAGTACTGGCAGAGCTCCTGAAGTCACCTGAGACCTCTGACATTATCTGCGATGTTGGCATGTGAGTACACAGTATCAGTGTTACTCTCAAAAAACAACGAGCTTGCATCATGCATTTTAAAGTATACATGATTTTTATGGAAAACTTTTTGAATGTGTATTTTTGGTAAATGTTAAAAATATAAACAAATAAAAAGTCCTAGTAGTCCGGTGAATTGCAGTGTAGCCCAAACTCAACCTTTCAAATCCTTAGTCTTGGCCACTTATTCTGTTCTCTGCTCTTCCCTATTAATGCTGACTAAGCTGTTTTCAAATGTAGCGTGTACCCTTTTTATTAAATTTAAAAATATATAATTTTTTTTTAATTGATTTATTAAATCCCTGCAGGGTCATTCTGAAGATGTCTGAGTGATTGAAAGAAATATAGGTTACTTAAATTAAATTGTCATAGAAACATAGAATGTGACTGCAGATAAGAACCATTCGGCCCATCTAGTCTGCCCAATATTTGATGGGCCGAATGGTTCTCATCTACTGTCACATTCTATGTTTCTATGTCATCATGAAGCTGTAGTAATTCGGTGTTTGTTTCTTTTTGTTTACAGGCCCGTGCTGCACAAAAATGTCCGTTACAACTGCCGTGTTTTATTCCTCAACAAGTGCGTTACGGTATACAGCTACTTTAAATGTCACACTATCTCTATCACTAAATGGGAATTATTAGCTAACTTCCTTTTAAAAAAATTACAAAAAGAACATCAACAAATATAGTCACTATAGCTATTGCTTTACTTATAAGAGTGGACCTGTCAACTTAGAGAACTTTGATGCATAAAGTGTGCATTTAGAAGCCTTTTTAATGTGAGTCTGTATTGTTTAAATTGAATAGAGATTTGGCCGGTTTAAGTTGGGTACTCTTAGGGCTTATAACAAATTCTGCCTTATGCCTACTTGTTTATATTAGTTTGAAATTATTCTGTCATGACCTCAGTTTTATAGCTGATACTTTTTCTTAAATCTGATAAGAGATGTACGCATTGATAAAATTTGTTGGCGCTATAAAAATAATGAAAGGAGTAGAAAAAATGAACATGAGAAAATATGATTTTCTCTTTTATAATTATTTACGCAGTATTTCATTCAGTCATAGAAACCAACGTTTTAATTATCTTTTAGGAAAATCCTTCTGATCCGACCCAAAACAGCAATGGCCAACGGCGGGAATTACAGGGAGCTGCGTTGGTTCACGCCGTGGAGTAAACCTAGGTGGACATTTTATTCTACATTTTCCTATTCCTTTCTATTCATTGTTATTCAAATATTGTACATGTCAAATCTCTAAGCTGTCATGCTAATATATGCTAGGGGGTCCACAACATGGTTGTCTTTTTTGTTATAGTAATTGAGATGGTATGAGTTAAAAATCAAGTCTGAGGTTTTTTTGTTTGTTTGTTTTTGAAGGGGTGGGGGAGGATCAGGTGTGCTACTGGTTAATTAAACCATTGTTGGCTTTTCACATTACCCCGACTAACAATGTATTATGACAATTAAATGTGTAATGGACATCACCCTTATGGATTGAAAGAGGTTTTATAAGTGTTGGTGATTTTAAAACATCCCTTTCTGCCATTGTATGAGAATACTGAGTCTATGGGTCTGATGGATATGCCTATCTAATGCTTTCCTCAAGGACTGGTGACCAGCAAATAAGATACATTAGAGAGAATCTCCAAAATTCGAGAGTTGAAATTTTGGCCTGGCTACTCATCCTGCATTGCTACAGGGATATAACAATGCAGCAGCATTGATGATCCATCTACACTAATGTGGTGTTGCAGACCTTCAAACCAACTCTTTCTACCCTCTTGTTCACATGCTGACACCTTAGCATTCTTAAACATTAGGCATTATTCCTGTACCTTTAAACATGTAACCAGAACTGACCACACTAGCAGCAAATGGAACAAGGAATGCTAATTTCCAAATCAGGCCAAGTTATACTTTCTAATTGCAATAGGTGCATTCTTGTTTGTACGTCAAGTGAAATTAAATGAAACTTCATTTCATGTGTTACAGAGAAGTTGAAGAACATTTCCTTCCAAGAACTATTCAAAAAATCACCGGTCAGGTTAGAAAACCTTTATTTAATATAATTAGTTTTCCTTCAGTTATTTTATTATGAAATAAAGCATCAGGTGCAAAGGAATAAAAATGACCTCTAGTTGTCCAAACTGAATACTTATGTGTCCCTTTTTACTGCCGCCCTTGCCATTAATATATTTTAAAAAATTTAAATTTTCTAAACCTGACTATATCAAGTAGATATTGATACCCCAGTATGTATTTATATGGTTGAATTGTAGCTTGTTTGTATCAGTCCCTTTTAGTTTATCAGATGTCATTAATGAAATATACTCAGTGTGGCATTGTGATCTTATTGTCTTACTTCTAGAGCTAACCCAGTGATTTCCCTTTAATCCCCTGTAGGAAACCGTTCCTTTTGGTGATGCTGTGTTAGCAACAAAAGACACGTGCATAGGATCAGAGATCTGTGAGGAATTGTGGTTACCAAACAGGTAACAGCAAACATCTCTGACTTCAATAGAATTTACTGTGAAAGTTCCGATGTACAAAAATGTAAAACGACACATTTGAGAATATCAGCTATTTAACCCAAACACTGTTTAATAGCAGTACCAAGACCTTTTCCTTTCTTATATCAGCTGCGAACAATCCTAAACAACAAAAACTATTACTATTCATCAGACACATTGTTAGAGTGTGTTAAAAGGGCAATACGTGGCAAACCATTATACCAAGCCATTCTCCTGAGTATATACTGCGATATTGGGCATTAGTGCACAAGAAATCTACTGTATATGAAGGCAACATTAAGATAATTAATAATTTTCTAATATATGTATAACCTCAAAAAAATCCAGCAAATTCATCAATTTCAATGATTGTTTGTTTGTTTGTTTAAATGGGGATGTATTTTCCAGTTATGAAATAATATTGAATTTACATCCAAATTTTCCTTAATTTGTTGACTGCGTTAGCTCTCGAGAAGGTATCTTGTTTTATACGTTTCTGTATGTTTGCAGTCCTCACATTGAGATGGGTTTAGATGGTGTTGAAATTTTCACCAATTCTTCGGGAAGTCACCATGAGCTGAGAAAAGCCCACATAAGGGTTGATCTTGTCAGGTCAGCAACAGCAAAGGTAATTTATCTCTCTATCCATGAGAAAACCATTACGAAATAGAACTAATTGGACAAACCATGCAAATAGTACGTTTTACAGTTTTACGTCATCTTAAGCTTCAAACAGTGACGTTTCAATTTTTTTGTTTTTATCAAGCTCTGGTTGGTGTAATTTGAATTGTTGAGCTGCTAAACTGCCCTAAGCAAGATATGTTTCCAAAAATGTTTGAAATTGTGATATATGCCCTAAATTTGGTCCTGCGTTTTGCCAAAGACATGTGAAAATCTATGTTCATTTGCTTGTCTTTATTGATAATACATTATGTCAGATGTGTGTACATCAGACCCTCCCTCCCAGACCCTCCCACCTCCGGGACAGCTCACTAAGAATGCAGCTTCACCATGAATGTAAAATGGATGCTGTCCAGGAGGTGGAAGGGCCTGGGAGGGAGGGTCTGCTGCTGATTGGCTGGAATGTGTCTGCTGACTGTGAGGTACAGGGTCAAAGTTTACTCAATGATGAGTCCGTGGCGAACCGTTCGGGACATCACTATTACTGGGTGGTACACCTTTCTAATACACTATTAACCTCTTGATTTATCTGGTTTAGTTTTAGCATGGACTTGATAAGGTGCTCACAAGTCCATATTGTTTATCGTGCTTTGAACGTTCTTTGCCACCTCAAACCCAAAGGTTGGATTGAGTACTGACTGGTTCTATCATAGACTGGAGTTGCTGTCTTGTTTGTGGTACAAGCTTGAGATGACACATACATATGACAGAGAGTAATTCTCCTGCCAGAAGTATTAACATGATCAACAACAATAGGTAGATAGACTGTTCCCTTCAAATATTGTTAAGTTGGTATTAAGTAAATGCATTAAAAGATGTTCACTATGCCTTTACACGACCAGCAAAAACCTACAACATTGACTTGTAAGATGGTCCATGAGTTTCTTACTTTACGCCAAATACTGACCCATCAGACAGCTGTCCATATCTGGTGATCACATACACACTGTAGAATGCTCTGGAATCCTGTTCAACACAGATTTCAAGTGTTTGAGGCAACTTTTACATTCTCAGAGATTTTCTCAGTTGTAATTTTTTAACATTTTAGTCAAAAATATTTAGACTATAAAAGATTATTCAATTCAATTTATATTTCTATGTTGCTATTTAAGCCTACAATGTTAAATTCCCTGGTCAGATCCTGACTATTAGCCGTTAAATAAATAGCCCCAAATGTGTATTAGCCCATAGAACCGTTGCTCAGGTAAAAATTAGTTTAGAGCATAATTTTCACTAACAGTGTTACCATGATTGAAGTGGATTAGACAATTCAACATAGAATTAGTTCACTAACCGAATGAATAAAAATACCCAAATTGTCTTTGGTTGTTGAAAAAAAAAAAAAAAAAAAAAATCTTGCTATGAAAGTTTTAAACCGTATTTTCTTAAATTTTTTTTATTACATTATATTCTAGAATGGTGGCATTTACCTGCTTTCCAATCTGAAAGGTTGTGACAGTGACAGACTGTACTTTGATGGCTGTGCCATGATATCTTTAAATGGTGACCTTGTAGCCCAAGGAGCCCAATTCTCGCTAAGTGATGTGGTAAGATTTCATAATATAAATGTTATCTCATACAAATTCAACCATTTACTCATTTGGATTGCTGCTGTTAATTGAATAGAATATAAAGGAATCAGATTCAATTTTTTAATAATGAATCCCAATCTTGAAATGTTGAAGGTGCATTCAGAAAACTGCTTAAAATATTACACATGTAAATATCATCGTCTAATAAATGGAAATTAAATTATTCATGTGATTAGTATTTTGTTTACAATCCAGCACTATCTTTTTACTCAGGAAGTTCTCACTGCGACTCTAGATTTGGAAGACGTGAGAGGTTATAGAGCTCACATTTCATCTCGTTGCATAACGGTAAGGACTTCTGCTCTCAATGTAAATTTTATTTATATTTTCTAAAAAAATTTTTTTTAACCATCTATTATAACACAGGGGTACCACAGGCAATTTTATAATAATTCAGCAGTAGGTTTTCTTTTTTTTTTTTTTTACCCCCTAAAGTTAATTTTAATTACACTGTGTTTGGAGCTTGATATTTCTTCTTCCTAAAATATATCTTTATAAATTTGATTTGGGACTGGTGCAGGAGTCAGATATCAGGAGAAAATAAAATGTCTAGTCATTAAAGGACCACTATAGTGCCAGGAAAAAATACTCGTTTTCCTGGCACTATAGTGCCCTGGGGGTGCCCCCACCCTCAGGGTCCCCCTCCCTGCTGGATGGAGAGGAAGGGGTTAAACTTACCTCTTTCTCCAGCGCCGGGCGGGGAGCTCTCCTCCTCCTCTCCTCCCTCTTCTCCTCCTCCTCTCCTCCCTCTTCTCCTCCTCTCCTCTGTGATTTTCACAGTGAGAAGCGCCTCTAGCGGCTGTCAATGAGAGTTTCTCGGAAACTGCTATGTTTGTAGAAAAAAGGGTTAACCCTAGCTGGACCCGGCACTCAGACCACTTCATTAAGCTTTAATAAGTTATGGTGGTTTTTTGTATTTTTTTTTTTTTTTTATTGTATTTACCAAAAAGTAGTAAATACGTGTTTTTTTGCAAGATGATTTGACAAGTTTGTTAATTTATGAATTTTCTTTAGGCAAGCCGAGTGACTTCTTTTCATAGGGTGCGTGTGGAGTTTTCCCTTTCCTCTTTTGATGACATTTACACTCTCACCTCTAACCCCATCCAATGGAAGTATCACAGCCCAGAGGAAGAAATAAGGTATTAAAAATCTGTCAAGAACAAATCTTGTGCTCTCATCTGACATCTAGGAAAACAAAGTATCACAGCCCTCAAAGTGAACAAGTTCTAGAACAGAATCTCAAGATTGGTTGGGGTTCTAATCCCATACTGCTTAATCTGTATCCACTGTAATTAAAGGGGCTGCATGCCAAGTCCATGATACGACTTATTGAAGTGACATTTGTAGGCTCCCCGTTAGATTAAAACAATATCCCTATCTTAGCAGCTCTATTAGAGTGCAGTATAGTCTGTAGCCTGATTATTGCAAAACGTCCATTTGAATGTTCATTTCTGCGAGTGGATTTTTACAGAGTAGACCTCAGTTTGAGTTCTTATTGTAAGGCCAGATCATCAAATTATAGGGATGCTGCACGATAGCTAGCTCTATCACTCTATTGTAAATCCGTAGCGTTACCGGTGTCTCTGAGCTGCTTCTCCTCGCACTAGGACGCCATCCCACCGCTTGCCACCAATTGTAACGGACCGCCCGGCACCCCGACTGGGTACCTCCGTTACTGGATGCTCCTAGCAGAGGGCTCCAAGCACTCCACCAGACACCACAACCACTGCAGACCCCACGAACCGCTGTAGCTTGGTTGAGGTCACGCCGTCTCCTACCCACCCTGGACCTACGACAAGGCTCCAGGCTCCAGTGGGTGAACCTCTCCTCCAAGAGAGGGAAACAGGAACATGCTCTTAAAAGAGCTTAGAAGTGATTATCCAAGGGAGCATGCAGAGCATAGCAATCCCTTGTAGTCAGGGCCGGCCTTAGGGGTGTGCGAGCTGTGCGACCGCACAGGGCGCCATGGAACAGGGGGCGCCCTGTGGCCGACACAGCTCACTCATGGCCGGAGTGCAGGGGAGCTAAAAGAGGTACCTGGCTGGAGGATTAATTATTCTCCACCCGGGTCTATTAAAAAAAAAAAAAAAAAAATCGCGGCAGAGGGGGCGGGGTTTACCGAGCGGCGGAGGCGGGGCTTATAGAGAGGCGGAGACGGGGCTAATACCTCCCGAAGCCCCTGCTGTACAGGAAGAGGGAAAGATGCTTCCCCATCAGCCAACTGCATCCACTGGAAAGAGGTAAGTGTGTGTGTGTGACTGTTTGCCTGTCTGTGTGACTGCCTGCCTGTGTGCGTGTGACTGTCTGTGTGTGTGTGTGTGACTGTCTGTGTGACTGCCTGTCCTTGTGTGTGTGTGTGTGACTGTCTGTCTCTGTGTGTGTGTGTGTGTGACTGTCTCTGTGTGTGACTACCTGCCTGTGTGTGACTGTCTGTGTGTGTGACTGTCTGTGTGTGTGACTGTCTGTCTGTGTGACTGCCCATGTATGTGACTGCCTGTGTGTGTGACTGTCTGTCTGTGTGACTGTCTGTCTGTGACTGCCCGTGTGTGTGAGACTGTCTGTCTGTGTGACTGTCTGTGTGTGTGACTGTCTGTCTGTGTGTGTGACTGCCTGTGTGTGTGACTGCCTGTGTGTGTGACTGCCTGTATGTGACTGCCTGCCTGCCTGTGTGTGTCTGTCTGTAACTATCTGTCTGTGTGTGACTGCCTGCCTGTGTGTGTGACTTTCTATCTGTGTGACTGCCTGCCTGTGTGTGTATAACTGTCTATGTGTGTGTTACTGTGTGTCTGTCTGTGTGTGTGACTGCCTATGTGACTGTCTGTCTGTGTGTGTCGCTGTAGCTGTGCCATTGTTTGTGCCTGTGCCTGTATGTGTGACTGCCTTTAACTGAGTGTGTGTGTACATGCCTGTAACCGAGTTTAAATTTCCCCCACCCCTTCCCGTCAAGGCCGCACTTTGACTGACAGACGCTCACTCACTGACAGACGCACACTCACTGACGACACATACACACTCACTGACGACACATACACACTCACTGACTGACACATACACACTCACTGACTGACACATATACACTCACTGACCAACACACACATTCACTCACAGACACACACACATTCACTTACAGACACACACAATTACACACTTACAGACACACACACACACACACACACACATTCACTTCAAAATAAACACTCACAGACACACACACAGACATTTCCACTAACACTCACAAACTAATATTTTTTACATTTATTTTAAATCCACCCAGCCTCCCTGGGAAAGCTGGAGTGGATTTCTTACCAGCAGTCCAGTGTGGCTGCTGGGCAGGCAGGCAGGGGGCGCACAGGCTGAGTAAGCAGCGCTTAGTGATGCCGGGAGCCGGACTGGCGTCATATTCTGGCTCCCGGCTTCATTAAGCGGCGCAGAGGAAGCTGAGCAGGAAGAGCTCAGGTGAGTATGCTCCTTCGCTGCCCGCTGCCAGCCTTGGGGGGGCTCAAAAGTGGCCAGCCGGTCAGCTCTTGAGCCCCCCAGGATGCGAGGCAAGCAAGGGATCTGCCTGGGGGTTTGGAGGGATGCTTTTTTTTGCCGCCCCCTGCAAAGTGGCGCCCAAGGCAGATGCCTTGTTTGCCTCGTGATACACACGTCCCCGGTGCCTGTGTGTGTTACTGTATTCAGGCAACTTGGTGGGAGGTGGGGGGGGCGCCGTGAAGACTTTTTGCACAGGGCGCCTAATTGCCTAAGGCCGGCCCTGGAGACACACACAAACATGCACTGTGAGACACACACAAATATGAACTGTGAGACACTCACAAATACATACTGTGATACAAATACACACTCAAATACTGCCATACACACACTCACCCAGAGACAAACTGTGAGACACATATTCAAATACACAAGGTCAGACAGCAACACACTGCCCGACAGATACCCACTGCCAGACATATAGATACTGCCAGGCACACCCACTCAGACCCTGATGGCAGCCCTGGTGATACCTAATAAAAATGTGAAAGTGATGCCTATTGTTGATGGGATAGAGAAGGAGTGAGGTCTAATGGTAATCAGAGAGAGCAGGAGTGATGTGTATCACCCCCTTCCTCTCTCACCACCATTAGGCATTGCCCTCTCTTATCATCATTACCATCCACTCTCACATCACTATTGGTCATTACCAAATTTCTCCACCAACATAAAAGGGTCAGTCTAAGCACCATCACAAGTTTGCATCATTGCAATGTTAATGGTGAATATATTGCCCTGAACTTGCTCTCAGCTATTTGAGTGGCTTAGAACTCTAGTTTAATCTTGTTATCTTTTGAGATTTGGGCTCCACCTTCCTACAGCTGTCTGACTGACATCCTGATAAAGAAGGTCAGAGTTGTCCAACTTGTGTCTGTGTCGTCCATGCGACACACACACACACAACTTGAACTGGATTCTATCTCCTCGGCCAAGCTGTGCACACAGTCTTGTTCATTAAACAGTGAACTGGACTTTGTATAAACTGATAGCAATCATGGTATGGCCACTAACGGTATACAGAGTCGTTCTGCTCATCATATGTGATGACTGAAACTGCTCCTGGGGGATAACATTCTCATCCCATAAATCAAGGCTAGGTATAGTCCAAATGAGATGCTTTTTAATTGGAGCGCTTCCTGCTCATAGAGGGGCCTGGCTGTAACTGCAGTCAGTCCCACTAAACCGAGCCGCTGCAGGGAATGCTCTTTTTTTGTTTGTTTGTTTGTTTATTTAATACTTTTGAGGTATTTTTTTAATGCATTAAAAATGGAAGTCATTTTGATC